CGAAATGTTGCAAACATTTAGTATACAAAAACTCTTTTAGACAAGGAAAGCTTAACAAAAAAGAAAATTGTATTAATTTTTTAAAAACTAATTATCATTTTTAGACATAATATAATAATATGAAAGAAAAAAATAAAATTGATTCAAAATCTAAAATACAGTAGTAATAGTAGTAGTATAAGTTTAAGTAATAAGTCAAGTATAATTATAGATTTCCACGCGAATTCGAATGTCTTAATACTTGCTGCATAGTTCACACTATAAAATTTTGCGTTAAATTTCTTTTTGAACGCAATATACAATATTTTGTTTTACTATACACAAAATTAAACTGATATACAGTGCGTTCAAAAAGAAATTTAACTATCGAACTTTTGAATTTTTGAACTGAGCATTGGCAAAAGTAAGGAGCCTTTTATTTAAAACAAAAAACAAATTAAAAAAACTTCCGTTCGATCAAACTTCCGTTTGATCATATTTCCGTTCGATCACGTTTCGTTTCGGTTAAATTTCCGGTCGACCAAACTTGCGGTCGATCAAATTTCCATTCGGTCAAACTTCCGTTGGATCAAATTTCCGTTCAATCAAACTTCCGTTCTATCAAATTTCCGTTTGATCAAACTTCAGTTGATCCCTTCCCCGTAGACGAAATTTCTTTCGACGAAATTTGCGATAACCTGTTAAGACATTAAGGCATTTTTCTTCATACCTAGCTGTTGTTACATTTACGAGAAGATCAAGTGCACAGCCAGTCTCTGGTATATGCCCCGTAACATAATCATTGGTAACGTCCTAACTTTTCCATGATCCACTTCATCCCTATTATGTACTGAATTGTTTGCCTGGTTGTCCGTGAACGGTTCATTCCGGGATATCCAGTGACCCGTATAATTTGTCATTACTCTGAAACATTTGTTGGTTTAGAAAAAATATACTGAATACTTACAACGGGAAGCTTTTGTAAGAACATTCATAAATACATCAACGAATTTCTGTTAAAAAAATCAGTTTTCTTTTCTGTTATAAAATTAAAATTATTAAAATTAAACTAGAGGCTCTAAACAAGCAGTTACATTTTTTTGTAAGTAAAAATTAAAAAAAAAAAAAAATGATTAGTTAATTTTAAAATTGTGAAAACAAAATTATCATCATGGAAAGTGTAATACAAATTAAAATTATTACTCATAGTACTTGAAAAAACCCCACTTAGACTAAGTTTTCAAACACATATTACTCATCCAAAGACTGATTAAAATAATTATCTAAGTCCATCACACACCATGTTATTCATCGTCTCGAAACTACATTTTTTAAACAGAGCATTATTATTTAATATTTGTATTTTAATTCTACCATAATCATATTTCCTGATAGGTATATAATTATTCAGAGTGCACTTCGCTTGATTTAGGACTGTTTCATTTGAAAATATTATATATATATATATATATATATATATACATAAATTAAATGGAAAAACTGCAAAGTTTCTTTTGTCACCATGTAACATTAGTTTTGATAATTAAATATGTAGCATCAGGTAAGTTTCAATTTAAAGTATTTTGGAAACCATAATGATGATTAAATTTCCGTTATCTAGTTACTTTTCTTTTCACCCAAATACATTCCCTATATGAAGAGAAATCATTTTTTTATTAAGTTATCAAATATAACTATTTTCTGTTTATTTCTTAATGGTATCGAAAAAACTTTTAGACATTTTATAATCCCAAATTTAAAAAAAAAAAAAATAAAATAAAAAAATTTGAAATAATTATGCATTTTTTAGTTGTGACATCTGCATACATATGATCTATAAGTATTAAAACGAGAAATGGTATCGAAAAAACTTTTAAAAATTTAATAATCCCAAATTTAAAAAAAAAAAAAATAAAATAAAAAAATTTGAAATAATTATGCATTTTTTAGTTGTGACATCTGCATACATATGATCTATAAGTATTAAAACGAGTTTTATGTAAAGTGGAGTCACCGCTGGCAAATATAATTTACAATTTAGATTTAAAAAAAAAAATCTGTATTAACTTTTTTGGATTTTCTTTATATTTGTTTTTTTAAAATGCAGCTTAAAATAGGTATGTGTATTACCTATGCATACACAGTGATGCTAATCCTGTCTTTGGAATGTTTTTGAAATAGATCAAGATCAAGTAGTATCAATAGATAGAAATATCTACATTTTTTTTTCATTTTAAAATATATTTGAAATAAGTTTAGATATTGCCAAAACTGTATTATTCTATTTTTTTTCCTCTCATGATTTAAAATCTTAATGATTTATAGTTTCTTGCAAAAATGATGAAACACAGAAGATGACAGTTCTTATAGTCGATATCGACGTGGGCGATAAAAACTTGACATCCTTTTACTCTAGAGCTGAGAAGATTTATAACACAAAATTAACACGTTTGAGGTCCTAGTTTTCTGCACATTTCATATTAAAAAAAAGTATTCTTTGTAACAGTGAATAACTCATGATATGTTCTTTACGATTGGTTTTATGGCTTGCAAAAATTATCTGCCAAATCAATCTTATTTCAATATTTAATTTAAATATACATTTTAATTTATGTAAATAATATGCTAGATGTAATATACATAAAAATAAAGTATATTAACTTAAAACATCAAGTAAAATGTATAATTCTCGAATGACAGAAATATTAACATTCACACATGAACAAAGAGATACATATAGTAAGGCTCATATTAATATATCAATTCTTGTAATGCCCCATGTCTTGATAATGTAATAAATAATCCATCTAGGATGGGAAAGATTCAGCGTATTTAAAGGGAGGGATTTAAAGCCTACCAGAAAAGGACGTCTTGCAATTAGATAACACAAAAGAATTCTTTTAAACAAATGATAACTTAAACTTTATACCAATCAATGAGAGTTGGTAATGATGGGTGCTACAAATTAAAAAAGTGACGTCAATTTCAAAACATAATAAATGAAATTCGTGGTGGACGCTTCAGCGCAACGTTGAATCAACATTATTTCAAAACACAGGCTAAAAAAAAAGATAATATATATTTAATTTAGCCCACTGATGACGTCAGATAATCGTGAGTGATATGTGAATTGAAAACTTCTCTTTGGCAAAAGATTAAAAAATAAAAAAATTAAATAACATAACTGAGAAATGTCTGAAATATTAATTATTATTTTGTGTCCTTACAGACTCCGCACAAAGTCCTTTAAGTTGCAAACCGGCAGAAGAACTCAAGGAGCATACCTTTACCTTTAAGTGGAAAGATGAAGAAACTTTTTTGACAAAATACTTGACAATACAAAGGAATAACAGAGTGGTATCAATATGCAACTTATCAACAAGCTGTTTTGATTTCTTTCCCAACAATGTTAAAACAATATCTGTTTTCAACAAAACAAATTTAGATGTTACAGTAATAATTCATCTTTTCAATGTAACTCGATCAACTGGAAAAACATGGCAAGTTATAAAAAACGAAGAGTTGATTAAAAGATGCACGATCATTGTGTTTAGTAAGTAAGAATTTAAATGATTACATGAACGTATTTCACCGATAAAAGACACATTTTATTAAATATATATATATATATATAGNATATATATATATATATATATATATATATATATATATATATATACATATTCTCTTTGTACCTGGTGTTAAATAAAATTCATAGCGAAAGTTATAATTGATATTTTAATTTGTGCTCTGAACCAAATGTTACATTCTTCAATAATGTGTTAATTATATTACAGTTATACAAAAAAAAATACTTAATTTGTTTTAAAAAATTATTATAATAAATAGAACGTACGTACTATTTTTTTTAAAATCAAAATATGTCTTTTGTTAATTAAGATTCATATCTATTGAAATACATAATTATAACACTTAGCAAAAGCTGCAAGCGTTTCCTGCAAAACAAATGTGTCACTTGAGGGACTTACATTGACTTGTTGGACTCCTCGAATTTATCCAGAGGCTAAATGCGAAAGTAATCTAAAATCGGCAAAGGTAAGCACAAAAATAAATAGGTAAGCAAACACACTTTCTCGCACACACATCAATGAATATAAACACACATAAACAGGTTATGTGAGTATTTTGAGAAGGATATATTGTATTCATAGTTTTGTCATTATCAGGATCCATTACTCTCGTTATATACTCGGACTGAGGTAATAAATCAACGAATACCTGGCGATGTGACGTACTATAAAGCTGTATGCTATATAACTGCATCGATTGATCAAATTGACCCTGGAATTTATAAAGTAAATATTAACATCTACCCAAATGTGACTGGCGCTGCCATGGACTTAGAACATGGGACAAATTATTTTCTCTCAATTAACTTAGGCAAGTATGAAATGGACCGCAATTACGAGTTCTATGTTATTTTCATAATTTAGTGTTTTAATTCATCCAATTATTTAAGCGATTTAAATCCAATAAATTGTATGTATTTTATACAACACGTTTAAAATGAAATATTGAAAACATTGGTCGTAAAATGGTTGGGGTTTAAGGTTTAATTTAAAGACAAACAGTTTAAATGTGCGTTAAAGAAAGTCAAACCCGATTATTATTAATATAGAATGTATTTTAACAAAAATGCTAGATAGAAAAAATTATACAAGTGTCATTCTAATCAATTAGTGACTCACATACATCTTATGTTTTGCATTTATGTATCTTAATACAATAGTAATTTTTTTTAAAAATATTATATAACCTATTTTGTATTACAATCTAATAAAATGCTAAGCAAAGTTTTGATACGTAATTTAAATATATTGACTAGAAATAAATAATAAGGAAAATTTATATTGTGTAAAAAGAACGTTTTTATAACGCATCTATAAAAAAACTTAATACATGCATGAATAAAAACAAAACAAAATTGGTGAAATAAAGATCCCCTATTATTATAAATGGAATTTAATATTTAATAACGATACTATTGATACCTTTATACCAGATAATCCCAGTGTGAAGCTTAAACTGTGCAACGAGATTGTTGTCGAAGAGACTGAAGTTAAATGCACATGTGAAAGATCCGATCCAAGCCTTATTAACGCATCTATTGTGTGGTATGCAACAAATCGGTCCAAAGACGACAGAATGGATGTCATTTTCCATAATAGCCCCTCTCTCTATCTTAAACACTATAGTAAAAAAACAGATATTTTTTATAAATATAATATATTTTTATATATATATATATATATATATATATATATATATATATATATATTAATGTTTAAACATTGTATGCGTTTTAGTCATATATTCGAGGAACGCATACATCTAAATATAATCTAACAATTAACAGTTTTAGTTTAAGATTTTGTTGGTATGCCCCCCCCCCTTTTTTTTCTTGTTAGATAGACGAAGATTTGCCATCTGTTTATAATAACACTTCTGCAAGAATTAGTATAAGTTGCAATTCTTGTGTACGTCTGTCTTCCGTATTTATGGGGATCCCCTGCATTTCAAATTTGATTTTTTCATTCCTCCTTAAAGTAGTCCAAAACACGGATTCGTAGCCTTCACATCGTTATCTAGTTCTTCATTGAGCTAATTCTTTGAAATACGGCATGTTTCCATTAGATAAACAATCCTAGACAGTGGATACATCTGAGAGGAAACAACATTATTTGGATTTCGGCACGTTTCATGACCGTGTGTTCAGAAAATTGTGATATCATCAGAAAAGCCATTAAATACTTTACATAACTTAGCATTTTTTAAGATGGAGTTTAGTTGACCCATGAGGAAAGACAAGGGTGTAAAATCACCGGCTACTGTTTTCATAAAATATATTAAATTACTCATTTTTTATTTTTATTTCCATTTATGACTTTTAAAAAAAATATTTATAACGAAAACAGTAAGTTATACTATATACGAGACAACATTTAATTTCAGTACTATTGGAATTTATAGGAAAAACGAATGTGTGATATAATTTACACCAGGTACTTTAGAGATTTCAAAAACAATTTTATATTTCATCACTTTATTCTAACTTTGATAACATGCAATTTAAAAGTTATCTTAAAGAAAATAATACTTTTGATACAATGCTATAAATAAAAGACAAATATAAGTTAATATTTTTTTTTAATGAAATTTTATTACTAGTAAAATGTGTCTGAAATTATTAAATTTGTCGATACATATAAATTTATATAACATTTTTGCCTAACTAAATGTGTTTACAAATATAACTGTGGTATATTCGTTTTAAGTTAAGTACTACTCTTTTATTCTCAAAAATTGTTTCACATTCCATATTTAACAAAAACTTCCAAGCGTACCACCCCCTTTTTTTTTCAGATCTATCGCTCCACAAGTGTAAACTTTTTTATTGGAAGTAACCATTATTTACATAATATGATGTTTTAGGGTTTGAAGTTATTTTTTATTAGCAGTACATAAGGCAGACTAAAATCCACACATTAATAGCATAATTAATTTGCTTAAAATAATAACTGTTTCTCGCTTTTCCATAGCTTACTATTGCAAAGCATTACATACACTTAAAAGAAAAGGCATGGAATCAACTGCAGTATACTCACCAAAAGTTATAGGTAAACTATATTTTAAAACATTTTACAAATTAGCAAAAATTAAAAGTATATATATATATATATATATATATATATATATATATATATATATATATAATATATATATATATATATATAGTAATGTAACGCAGTAGTTAGTGTTTCAATCATTGGTATTGAGACGTTTTTGTAAATCTTATTTAGGAAACATATTAATTTTGTGGCTGCTACATAGCTTGTATTGGAAACATGTGTGTATTGTAGATGAAATGTTACCTTGGTATTTATTTAGCAGCTCGCATGCAGGGAGAGAAGCGAACTAAAGAGAAAAGCGTTGTTAATAAAAAAAAAATTTTTATAAAGTTGTCCTCTTTGCGCTGCCTATGATTGCTTCTAATCGTGAGGAGAGTTTGTATTCTGTTACACTACAAATGAGACATGGAACATCCCACGCAAATAGGACTTCGTAAAATTTTGGTAAACATTTTCAAAAAGTGTGTTTAGTTTTATCCATATGCGTTCTAACGTCCACAAAACACCAGCTGCTGAAGAAGTTACAGGAAAAAAGAAATGTGTTATGCCAAAGCTAAAAAAACACATGGCATTCTCATGTCAAAAAGGCAGCTTCAAGCAGAATGTTTAGCTAATAGTGCAAATCAATAACGACTCAGAGAAAAAAATGCTCAAAATCAACTTTAAAGGGATAGTGATTAAAAGACTGAAAGACAAAGGTTTGAACACCATCATAAAAGAATCGACTTTGGTAGATATCCCCGATGCATTACAACGCATTTTTGCATGGAAATAGCCTTGGCCCAAATGCAAGGCAATCTTCCATTTTACAATGTCATGCATTTCAAAAATATTTTAATGTCTAATTGTTAACATAATGGGAGAATTGCATTAGAAAATAACGAATTCATCACTTCATTAAAATTGTATGCCTGGATCTGATTCGAATTCCAAACCTTTCATGGAAAATAGATACAATTTTCCAAAATAACATGGCCTTTGCCTTAATGGGAGTACAATTTATCAGGCCAAATTAAAATTACATTTCGCCAGAGTCAAAGGTACACCTTTAGACTTTGCCTTACTCTAAATTGTGTATTATGACCCAGCCCTGACATAAAAAAAATAAACCATTATCAATTAATGGAGGCATTCGTGTGGCACTGGATAATCTTCAAAAACATCTTCGAGATATCAATCCGTTCCAAATAGAAAGCACATTTTTTAAATGCAAATTTCAATAAGACGATAGGCTAAAGACACATAGGAAGCTTGACTGCAAAATAAATATATAATGACATTTTAAGGGAAAGAATACATAATGTGCAAGGTCCCACTGCTACAGGAAAGATGCTGTAGCAGATGTTGCACCAACAATGATTTGGGATATAACAATTCATGCAAAATTTTGAATTTAAAAAAACAAAATATATCCATCCTGAGTTAAAATCAGCTACCATATAAGTTACACTTTGCTTTTCCAACATGGTGATTGAAGCTGAGCAATATATTTGAACGAAACTATAGTTTAAGAAATGTGTCCTAGCTTCAATAGTATTCATACAATTTTTGCAGTCATGATTGAAATTTTAAGCATGTCCTCGCCGCAATAAAGATGACTCACGAGTACATTGTTGATGCATGTTGAAGACAAAAGCAAACCATTTAAAATGGTGTCGTAAAAATCAAACGTCAATTATCACTGAAGACTATCAGCAATCACAATGTGTTGATGTTGACATTATGCGGGAACAAAAAGTGTATTTGCCTTTAGAGATCACAAAACATTGCTAAAATAACAATGATTATATCGCCATGTAAAGGAAATATAGCACATATGACTTATTTGTAAGATTCATGTGTGATACTAAAAGGGTAGATTTCATAGAAATTTTACTTCCTGGTCGGTAATATTGCGATCTGCCTAATTTAGTAAATTAGTGTTTGACTTAATGAAATTGGTACCCTAATACTTAACCAAACAAGATAGCTTGGCACATGTTAGGGCAATGCTCCACTTAATCGTCTTTCTAAAATTTGATCTACCACATGTCAAATATTGATATTAATACCCTGGAAGACAAATCCTAAGAGACTAAAGGTTTTTTAAAAAAAATGATTTTCAAGAACCCCGTGATAAACATGCACGCAAGAGGTTAAATGAAACTGTAAAATGGTTGTGGTCCATGAAATCGAAACTCACCGCGTATGGACAGTGGCCAATCCACACATAAATTCTGAAAGATCTATCTGCCAACACCAAAAGCAAAGTAAAAAGTTACCCATGCTATCAACACCGAGAAGGTGGTAACTTTGTTAAACTTAGGGAAACAAAGTATATAAGAAATTGATGATTCCATATAACGTATTCCTCTCTCTGAAATGCAATGCCCATATTAACGAAGAGATTTGTAGGTACAATCAAAACGTTAAATACCTCATCAAACACGTTTACAACGGGCACAACTCTGCAGTTATTCATCTCGTTATTGAAGCGATTAATATTTGGGGCAACTTCAGGAAAAGTTTACACTATGTCTTATACCAGGCAAAGCAAATGAAGCTATACAACAAAAATCATCTAAGTATACATTTCTTTTTTGGTTTATCCTTGATCAGCAAAACCCTTATGTCCGATTGTATTTATATATTGAAATTCCAGAATGCTATTCCTGGGCAGACAACAATTTTAAAAAGTAAACAACGTCTTTGATGACATGAAACGGCACTTGGTCAAATGTTTACCGTAAAAACCACGGATAGGGAAAAAATGTCTCTCCTAATTCTCTTTCTAAAAATTAAAGGAAAAATAACATAAACCTAAGAAAGGTTGGAGAAAGTCTTTAAATTTGCAAAAATCTAAGAACCATGCATTGCAAGCGATTAACTGATGATGCCTTAGAATTGGATACTTGCTTAACAGAATATCCGACTCATCATTTCCCAGTACAACTAAGCAAATGTGTGAATTTTTGTGTATCAACTGTAAGCGGTTGGATGCGAGAGCATCATTCGAATGACATAAGAACAATCTTATGGAAGACTGTAAGAGATACGCTATTGATTTACGAAAAGCTCTCATTGTGTTACTTAAAGAAATTAAATCTATCCTTCCAACAAATGTAACGTAAGTGGCAGATTACAGCTTAGAACTTCCAGACAGAAACTATGACAACCAATCCATTATGGAAAGTATTACGATCCTATTAACAAACAAAAAAAAAAATATTGTCAAAAAGCATTTTCTAATGCTTAACATTTGGCAAAGTATCCTTTCAATAAATTAGGCAAGTGATTGGAAAACGTAACTTATGAAAAGTAAATTTTTATTATTAAAGACCTTGTTTAAGTGGTAAACTTCTTTAAAGAAAATTATGATCGTCTTAGAAAAAATGAAATCGTCATACCATGTGCATTTTCTGCAAAGTAGCAGATTTACTTAAAGGATGCAGAACCTGCTATAATCTTTTCTTTCTGCAGATTCTAATAAATGAAACATCAACCCTAATGTTCGACAAGGAATTAATACTAGAAAGTAATTAATATGGCCAGTGTGATAATCTGGGATTAAATTTTGTTCACACACTGTATATAAAATGTATTTGCCGTATATCAAATAATTACTTCTAAAAACATTTTGGAAGTTCCCTCATTCTTTTCTAGTTGATTTGAGACATATTCGTTTTGTTGTTACTTCTTGCAACAGACCCGGAATACTTTCTTCAATTTGAGTAATAGTAAGTGTTAGAAAAAATTTAAGGCCTAAAGTTAGACCAAAACATGAGTGTCAATGGAACAATATCCCACAGGGAAAATCAATGGTATTCAAATTTTTATTTAAAACTTGACAATCCAAGAGCCTTGATTAGAGAAAACCATATTCGTAATTCCTCTACTCTGCATTTAAATGGATTTGCTAGTGGTTTCAGATTTTCTGATGTCATCGAATCAAGTGATGACAGTCACATGAATTTAATGAAAATAGTCTGGGATGGTTTCAAATGGAATTAAAATGAGATACCATATAAATTTTATTCAGCAAGACATAACAAATGCCGTGGAGGCAGCAAACAATGGACTTTTTGAACAGCTTAACACCTGGATGTATGCCTTCTCATAAACTAAAAAGAAACTAGGTGTATTAATGCAAAAAAAAATTAACTCAAAAAGAGATCTTCACAATAGTACCAGAATGGTCGTCTCTCATAATTATGTCATATGTCATTGACAGTAAAATTCTGACCGGATCTTTTACAGATGCAACGAATGAGTTGCTGAGATTTATTATTGCAGCAAGTGAGCTTGATCTTTCTTTGCTTTGAAACTAAAACTGTTTCCATTGAGATTTGCTTTTTCGTGACCATTCACAAAAACCTAAGACAAACATTGAATTCAATTAGTCCTTATCTGACATTTCTTGTTTTTAGTTATATTGCCTAAATCATTTTAACAAGTTAAGTTTAAATTCTTAGGAACTGACCAACCATGTAAATTAAAGAAAGACCACAGAGTTTAAAACAAAAATTTGTTCTACACATATGTTTTTGCCTACTAATTAACTTCATAATCAGTAATGGCTATATCAATATGTGACAATAAAAGTGCATCTTATCTGGCCGTAGACAATTTAATTCAGGTAGTATATATATATAGCTAGCGTCAGACAGAGAGAAATAGGGAGAGAGAGAGACAGAGGGGGAAAGGTATACAGAATGCCTGAGTGTTTGCGCGTGAGAGATAGAGAGAGACAGCGCGTGAGAAAGATGGGATGGGAGATACTGCCTTGGAAGAATTGTGTTTTTCTTTTTCTTGATTCAAAAGTTTTTTTACAAATAAAGCTTTAAGAAATTATCGTTCCTTGAAATCTGATTCTAAATAAGCTAATGCCTTTTCCACGTATAGTGTATTTAAATATACACCATACTTTAGATACAATTACATTATTATAAAGATATTTTCTATGCGATAAACCATTCTATAAACTGCACTGAATCTTCAGCTAGCGTACAGACAATAGCCTGCGAAAAATATCAATTAAAAGAAGTTCTAACGGCAGTCTGTCAAACAAACCAAATTTTCCCAGGTGCGGAATGCCAGTTTCTGATTAAATACAACCATGTAAGTATTTATTGTGAGTTTAAAAAAAAACAAAAAAACACATGCACCAAGTGTCAAGCTTATGATTTTTAAGAATTTAGTTGTATGAGTATTTACCAAGATGAGCACACCATCTAATTATTTGTGGTTTAAACTTCTCAAATGAGCGAATTGTTTCAGACCAGTAGAGTTATTCGTTTTGGAGTAATTTATTTTCAAATATAAGAGTTAAAACATCAATATCTCATTCATTACAGTAACTTTCTTGATATTCTGCATTTCTTGTGTCTCACACCAGCCATGATGAAATTTATTTCCACGATTTTTTTTTCTAAATTTGATAATTTAAACATTAAAGTGGATTTAGAATTAATAATATGTATGTTAAAATTGTGTTACCTTGTGGATAATATCTATGTTTCAATATTTTTTTTTTCTTTTTTACTTTTTGGAAAATTAGTTTCAATAGCAACATAAAATGAGGAATAATGGATCTATTTTTTTTTATATACGTTAAGCATGTTCATTTTTATCACACAAATACATATATTTCACCAGACAACATTTTACAATTAAAATAATTTAACCACAACACATCTAATTTATTTAAGTAGCATATCAATCAGGCAACATCGAACTTTGCTAGTGATAATAATACGTTCATTAATGATCATCTAGATTCGGTAAAATCAAGGAAGCACGCTGTCAAATTCTTACCGTTGGGAAACAAATATTTATTAGAATTCTGACTTAATTTTAAGAGAAATAATTCGCACTGATTAAGCTGACCTAAGGTATCTGTTATAAAGAGATTGAGATGTATCTTTCTTTTAGTTCTTATGGTGAATGACTTATTTTGAGTAATATTACTGGTTTTCTGATTAGGTTCACAATACAAGGATCTAATGTTTCAAACTTACAAACATAGTATATTATATTATATTAAATTAATAAACATGTTCATTAAAATTAATCAACATTTTATAATTCTATTTATGTCATGAAGAATTATCTATATTGTTCTTATTAATTTATTTGTTCAATATAATTAATCTTTTTATGTACAGATTTATCACATTTATACGGAGTACAATATTACTCGCTACACTATGCACACATCAGATGATCCAGTCTATTACCAGACAACTTGCACATTAAATATTTCAAGAAGAAACCTAAGCTATGGATTTTATGACATTGACGTCATCATGTACCCAAATATTACGGGTGATGAAGGTGATAAACAGTTTGGTACACAAACAAAAGTGTCTTTTAAAATTGGTATGACTTTATTTCTTTCCAACATGAATACAATCGTTCTATTGCGGACTAACTTAGTTTAAAGAAATAACCATGTTCTTTTGAAAATTATCATTTTACTTTATTCTATCTTTATTATATATATAATTTTAAAGGTGCCTATTAACGTGTATCAGCAGATCCAGTAGAAAATACAGCGGTGTTTAAAATTGAAACTATGATCATGGCACTAGGGAGTGGTGCCATATTCCTAACATTGATTTTGTGTTTGATCTGTCACAAAAAGATACAAGGTAAAAATCATATGTATATATCTCACTAAAATGATAAAAAATATTTCCAATTAATGTATACTTTTAGACTTTAAAGTATCAAGTTGTTTTTAATTAACTACATCAAAAATAAAGCAATGACACTTTTGAAAAGTGTTGTCTGCAGTGCAACTGTTTATCTTTTTAGAAGGGGAAATATCATTTTAAAAACAAAATAGCAATCGTCACCCTTACATTAAAAGTAATTTAAAGGAAATTTGATCTGAAATATGATAAATAATTACCCAAAATGTGTTATGAATTGGGTCCTGGTCGGCTGAGAGCTATACACCGAGACACTCAACAACAAACGCAGTTTTTTTCTTTTGAGTTATATCTCCCTAAATGCTTCGCTAAGCAAAAAAGTAATTATCAGCTCCCTGGATTGATGGGACTCATTTACCTTGGTTGGCAACTGACCTATGACAAGGAAAATTCTGAGTTCAAACACGGATATAGAGACTTGTAGATGGACATGATTTACACAATCAAAATACCGCATCTCCTGCAACGCTACTGGTGACACATTTAACCATTCACATATTATGTCTACATCGGTTATCCAGATGAGTGGACAGAGGTGATTTACTGTCTAAGGAAAATTTTTATCCACATTTTTGTGGAATATGGATGCTGGATAAATCTAATGTTTGTTACTATGTTAATTAAAGTCTTTTCCTTTAAAAGATCGAAAATAAATAATATAAAAGTTAGTACATATTACATAAGTTTTAATACTGTTTACAATAAACAAATGTAATGAATATTTTATATTGATTTTCTTTTAATCAGAGGGAAAGAACCTACTTGATAATTGTTTAAAGTGTACACAAGACAAGAGTTTAAACGGTGGATATGATGAAATCAATGATGGATATATCGTAGCTAACCATGGCGTGTACGAAGGGGAACAAAATACTAGACAGGGTATTATAACAATTGATGCAACCATAGAAAATCAAGATTACGCCTACGCTGATGAAATTTGTGTGTCAGTACAAAATGTAGAATCTGAAAACATGCTAAATGAAAGTAATGTTGAAGAAAATATAAATATTGCTTCCAATAATGACACAATGTCATTAAATGCACATACCCTTGCCCTTGCCGATCATAGTAAAGTTAACATAAATTATAATGTACAAAGTACCAACGCATCTGTTACAATGACAATGAGTAGATTTGGAGTAAGTGAAGTAGCATTACATGATGTGACAAATAATAGTGAAGTATCAATTTAGGGTACATTATTGATATTAAAAGAGAAGCTGCTAGTAAAGAATATAAAAATAAATGAACACATCAGAAACACCTCTTTAAGATGTAATGAATGATGTGTATATAATATTTATCATACATTATTTGCATTTAGTCTATTAAATTTTATAATTTTATTAAAATGCTTATCACTACCATAAAAACAAAATTAAAAGCATCAATCATAGAAAATTTATATTTGTCTCTAGGCATTGATAAACTTAAACCAATGTATTAATAAATGTTATTAATTATAAATGCTTAATTTATATATATATATTTATTATACACAATTAAATGTTTTTAAAAGTTGCCTGCTTTTTCTGGTCGTAGCATACAATATGAATGAAAAGTAGAAATGTACTTTTTTTTTTAAACATACATTTACTCTCACGTTATAGTACATGACAGATCCAATTTTTTCGGTGGTAATTGTATCTGCTTAACGTAAGGCAAATGTGTTCAAAAGAGATTCTTGTTAAAATAGCTAATAAATGAGATGAACTATATTAAAATTGTGCCATCATTAAGGCATTAAAAAAAATTTCTTCTTATGGAGTAATTTCTAGTTAGAATAAATTAATGGAAATGTATTTATTTTTTGAGTAAATATGCATACTTCAATTGATTTATGTTAAATTCATGTAAATATATATGTATACAGTCGTACCTCGAGATACGAATGTAATTCGTTCGGTAACCTTGCTCTTAAGTTAAATTGTTCGTATCTCAAAGCAATTAATTGATATTAATAGTAATGCCATTAATTCGTTCAAGCCCCCAAAATGCCACCTCAGATGTTTTCGTTACGTATTTTTGTATAGGAAAAATGTATTTATAGATTTCAAACTGATTTTATAAAGTGTATTTACCTTGAAAATCAACCGATTTGAGAATACTTAAGGTGATTCCACAGGTTTTGGGTGGAGGAGATAAATATCCCCCTTTCATTATAATGTGTCTTAGTTATAATGAGCAAAGTTTCCCCATGTTTAGGAACCCTTTCATTTATCAAAAATCTTCAAAGTGTTTATTTGACTATATTTAATTTTATTTCGAGTACATTAAAAAAAAAAGCATTCGGTTTTATGTGGTGGGAGAACTCCTTCTACATGGGAACAAGGAGGCGCCTCAAAAACGACACAGTAAGGGTGAGGACGTCTAATATTTGACTTTTGGTTTTGAAATATATAAATAGCTGCTCATATAGATCGTTTAAAGAATTTCAATAACATAAAAAATGTTGGAATTGTTTACAATCATCATATCAACCAAATAATCAGAATAATCTCACTCGTGATTGTCTTACTAAAATCGTATTTTATGATGGTATTTTTGTTTAGAATATTTCAAACAAACCAATCATATATAAATATAACCAGCCTCAATAAAGCAGCCAATAACAACGTAAAAGTAATAATTTAAAAAAAAAGAACCTCGGTAGCACACATTTGCAACACCCTTGCCCTTTCCACATTTGAATGAACCATCCTCCCCATTTCTCAGTGACCTATTTTTTAGACGACCCCTTACTAGTCATCTAAAATAATGATGTATACATATTTGGTTTTAAGATCGTTTTGTTCATTGCTTTTTTTTTTAAAATCTTTAAAACGGAAATGAAATAGATGGAACAATTGTTCACAGTTCAAGTAGGAATGATTCATTGATAAGTTCAATAGAAATTAAAGTTAAGGTCTAATGACTCATGCACTTTTGTAAGTTGGGTCAAAGTTTAAAAGTTGAAACAACACAACAGGAGTGGCTAATGTGCGACCCACTGCTAGTCATTTTGCGGCCATTGTTTGATGCTAACTAATGGATATATCGTAGTGAGAATCTGATATTACTCTTTTATAAACCCAATAGACCATATGCTACCAGCCTCCTTTTATGAGCTGAGCCATATAATATCCTCCTTACGTAGTGCTCTTCCGCCGCTATATCTTCGCCTGAAACATCTAGCAAGGGCATTCTGTCAACAGAGACACTAGTGTTTCGTGGATTAATCTCTAATCCTTGCAGGCAAGGTCAATGTTATGGTCTAGCTTTTTAAAGTATGTTCCGATGGGACAATGCTTGGGACAGAAATGTGTCACTGGACTCACTGTCACGAGTGCACTGCATTGGAAAACATATGGGAGACAATTTGAAAAGTCAAGCACCTGAGTTTATACTTAATGCTCTGGAATGGGTTGTTAAGCAAAGATGTGGCCCTACTGGCATTTTTTTTTTTTAGTCCAAGTTGTTGATGTTTATTTTTAAAAGACAGAAGAATTGGTAGCATTGTATTCACTTAAGGACAGGACACTTCTAAGTCACGAAATTTGTAAGACACAGTTACATCGACATTTCTTTTCTTTAAAACTTAACAACATTCCGGGATTAACAAAGGGTGGGGTTCCAGTAATGGTTGAATACCAAGAAGGTTTAATAAAAATTGACTGAACATGAGGCCTCGAAATTCGGTAATACTTCAATGCTAAATTTCCATTACATTATTTATCAAGGGGAAGTGATGTGCAAAGTCCCTCATAATGGACCGTGTCATAAAAGTGGTTGTCAGAAAAAAATTATCTTTGTTAAGTCGAACGCGTTGAATCAACGTCAGTTCCAATAATTTCTAAAGTCCTGGAACTTATAATAACACTATATTTTATGCAGAAGTAATATTTCGGACCTATGACTAAATGTTGAAAAGAAGGTGTAATTCACAGAAAGAAATACAATCATTCTTTGCTAGCAGGTCAACAAGTATCAAATAGTTTGAACACAAGAAGAGATTTTGCGACTTTTTATCTCTGGTCGATATAACTAGTTACCTAGATGACGTTAATACTCGACGAAAAGGTAAGATCAATAATTATTAAAATGCATTATTATATTTCTGCATTTCAAATGAAACTTAGTCTTTGTAAATAAAAGTTGAGGGCACACAACTTTACTCACTTTCCTACATTGTCATGGCAACCAGACATCACATAATGGGGGCGGATAATTATGCTTCTTACATGTCTGACTTAATCTTCGAATTTGAAAACTGATTTCAGGATTAAAACAACAACATCATGTGCTTTTTGTGTATTTGCAATACTAATCGCGGTAGACATGAATTTATTAATTGGAAGATTACAAGTGGAATATTGTGAAATGTGTTTTGATACACAGTTTAAGGAGAAATTCCATTCAATTTGTTTGGAAGAGTTCTATGAAAAGTATTTAGACAATGATTAACATCCAGCATTTTAAAAACATGCCCTGTCGGTGGTTTCGTCATTCGGAAACACGTATGCGCGTGAAGAGATTTTTAGTCGTATAAATCACGTCAAAAGAAAAGGGAGAACACGAATTACTGATGTTCGGTTTGAAAACAGTTTGTGCATGGCGACAACATCTGTCGAGATTATTTTTGATGGACTTAGTTCTGCAAAAATGTCAGATGTTTTACTGTTAAAATTTAAAATGTCTAACAAATATATTTCATTCTCAGTATAGTTAAAATTACAATTAATTGTACGTATATCAACAATAAAATAAAACTATGTTTAAATGTGTACGTTACAAATAAAAGTATTCCTTTAAAAATATATATATATATATAATTGAGGTTTATTGTTTTTTTCTTTATTTATGAAATCCCTTATCGAAGTCCCATTAGTTTTAAGTATATACATACCTGATGTTCATTAATTCCAAATATGGGCGATATTAAACATACATGTACATTTGATTGTAAATTTTCACAAATTCATACAAATCTGCTCTCTCTTTCCTGGTCTTTTGAAAGATGCACATGTTTTCTTACACAAAAATGCACGAACTAAACTAATTTTTTACCTCCTAATAATAATATTTCCCAGATTATTACAATTCATTGAGAATTAACAATGTCAACAAAAATTCTATTACGGGTTGTTGAACAGTGATGTAACTACTAAAACACTAAAGGTTATAGAAAAGTATTGTATAACCACAAATAAATCTTCTGCATCATAGCCATACATTTTATCAAGAAACAATTAATAGGATTTCCCCTGGTTGCTAAGGCTGATATGCAAGTGATGGAAAGAGTATTCTATCCCCACTGCAATGCGAATTATTTATTTGATTTTGCGGATAATAAAATTGCAAACAATAGATTTTAGGCAGTGACTTTTAGTGTAATACTAACCAAATTATAGAAATATTAATTTCATCAAAATATTACTTTAAAATTAATTTTAGTAAATAACAAAGAATATGTTGTTTTAAATGATTGAATTGTATGTGCTAAGTGATAGGAAATTAGCTTTAATGGTGTGCAATTAATTGTCAACCAAATATTGAAATTTAAAATGAAATCATCTTTACGTAACTGGAGCTAATTCGACTTTAGAAGCTTTTAAAACAGCAAACACACAATAATTGTGTTCATGTTTGTTGATTCATAAGTGGTGTGTTATAAAATTTATTTTAAGATTACTTTATCTAGAAATCTTGTAGAAGTTGCGGGGAGCAAAAGCAATATTATGGGCATTTGAACTTGGCTTACATGAAATGGATATATTTACGAATCGAATACTAAACAGTCCATGACTTTTTGAAATTCATTATTAGCATCCATTAGCTGTCCACTAAGCTTTGATATTTCTTTAAAAAGTTCATCAGAGAAAGAGGTAAATTTTGAACGGGAACCAATAACTCTTCTTCCCTTGCTGATAGTAGACTCTTGGACTAAACAGCCCAAAATATCTTTGCAACTTCCTTGACTGCTGATGATCTGATCTGGGATTCGGAATGAAAGCGATCAATACACTCCAACAAATCCCTACTTTTTTCTTCTTGCAGAGAGAGCCCAGCATGCATTATTTTTTTCTCATGTCATTCTCTTCTTAACCTTTATTTCTCTCTACCGAAATTCTTAAATTGCTGGATTTGAAATTAATTTTGTAATACTATGTGTTACCAATAGACAGCTCTTTTCGTGCAGAAACAATGTTAAGACATCTAGGTTGGTTACAACCTCGTCAAGAGTAAAGTAAAAACCCTTTAGTCTGCAGATA